GAGATTTGGAGGAGTGGATGTTTGTATTATTTCGAGACTACTTCGAGGTTACTTTGTACGAACCTTGACAGTAAAGACATGTAAAGACATGTGTGTCATTACAAGGTTGTTGCTTTCATACTATTAACATTGGTATTTAAAGAGACTATTGTATATTATTGTATATTATTGTATATCATTGTATATTATTTAGTATCTTACTTTGTACAAAAAAAGATATACAATTACATTATTACTAACAAGTATATTTACTTTAACTTACAGATCTCAACCCTTAAGATCCTATAGAATAAACGCCTAACAGCCTTCATTCTAACGTAAAACGAATTAAACATACAACTAAGTAATAATTAAAAGCATTATTAAGAGGCCAATCAATACATGTTATAACTTCCACGTGACCTAACAGGTAACTAGGGCAGTCCAGAGACTTGAGTAAGGCCAGCTAAAAGAATGCATGTGTCACCGAGACAATGGGAATTGACATGGATTATATAAAAATGGTGAAATCTAAGATTGCTAAAGATAAGATCTCAGGAACTATAGCCAGGGGAAAAAATGGAGTCAAGGCAAAATTACTACAGAGACCAATTCTAATAAATATCTAAACAAGAGATAGAAATATATATTCTAATAGTATATGCTTTATCTAATAAGTATTATATACAAAACAAGCTCTTTAAACAAACTATATCGTCATTAGTTGTGTTAATAGACTATTAAGGATTGCACGTAATATATCTACATCCATCCTAAAAAGATTAGATACATTACCCTATTTCGACTGACTGCTCTAAGCGCATAATCCATTCCATCACTAACCCTCTGGTTTGACATCTCAAACTCCAAAATTTGGTAATGGAATTAAAAGTTTATACCTCATTGTCTTCCAATATGAATGGACATTCTGGTATGCCACACAATTATACGAAATTAATATATTAATTTTCATCTCATTCCCATAATTTTTTATCAATTATGGATAAAAACAATACAAAAGGTATATATTTGAAGTTTAAAATTATTAACATATTCGTCTGAATTGTTGGTTTCAATGAATATTTCTATTATAGTTTGGTTTAACTATTTGATTTAATATTTAGTTTAAGCACTTTTTAGATGTAAACCGGTTATGAGAATAATTTAATCTTTAGAAAAACTTAAAAAGTTACAAAAGAAGAAATAAAAAGAAATTCAAGAACCAAAAATAAAACAATACGATTAGGTTTATCATTATCATGGTAATATCATTCTTAACTTTCAATCTTATTATTATCAAATCAGATGTCCTAACAACATTAGAATATCTAAGTAAAAAGTACGGCAGAAGAATATCACAACAAGTTCAGTAAAAATTGCGTGCTATTAAAAGAAATAATACCATTGCAACATATCTAGCCAATATCAATTGGACAGTGTGTTCAAACCCAAAATAATGATTCATGTTTCAGATTACTTATTCGCAATTGAAAATTAACTATGATAGTGAACGGGCTATTTATTATTCAGTATTTTTCACCTTAGTGTAAGCAGCCACAGCTGAAGACACGTAAGCGACACAGGTGACGTCAGGAGTGTAATTACTTAATTAGTGAGTATTAGTTTTACGACAGAAGAGATATATAAGAATAAAGATTAAAAGATTTTAAAGCAGATGGAAAAAAAGTTATTTAAAATAACATTGTAAGTATTTACAAATCAATCAATTCATTCTAAAGTTAAGTAGTCTTGTAGTCAATTAATTTAAAAATCTGAGGGCAATGTCATTTTACGCAGAAGATATTGAAGAAGAAGACACTAATGGTAGTACTTCTTCTCGTTACTGCAGAACATTAAACTATTATCCAATACTAGAGGGTGTCATGAACTCCCCACAAAACTATTAATTGATTGGGACCAAGAGAATTCGGTACCATACCATTGTTAAAAGGGTATTGGTGGAATAAAGAAATCGTTACGAAGAAAGAAATTGGAAACTTCTGTTATCTAATTAAGTTGAACCCTAATGTTGAAATTTAAAATTATTTGGATAGGTAGAGAAAAAAGAAGTTCTAGAAACTGAACCCATTTTAATTTTTTATTTATTTGAGTCATCAGTTGTTGTATATTCCCCCCATTAAGAAACATTGCTGGTTGATGTTTAGAAACGAATACAACAATCATTCGTCAAAATTGTTAAAATGACATCTATTTAGATATATAAAAACGTATTTTTATAATTCTAATAACCTGAAATAATATAGTTGAGTAAAGCCCTTGAATTCTAACAAGTTTTTAATATTTAACTTCAAGTTGATATTTTGTTAATAAACAAATGAAAACTACCAATAAAATGAGAAACATTTTATAACAAATCAAAATATTCCTAATAATCATTTGGCTCTGTTGAATAATCGAAGTAGAGTTCTTTTTAAATCTAATAGAAAATAAATAAAGTATCACTGGTAGTTACGGGCAATACACTTTTTGTATGGGGCATGTAACATACAAAAAAAATAAAAAAATAAATGAAACGGACAGGAATTGAACCTGCAACCCTTCGATTGCAATTTTTATTCCGAGGAATCCCAGGATTTAACTGGAGTCGAAAGCTCTACCATTGAGCCACCGCTTCATCTAATTGTTGAAAAAAAAGAAATTAGAAAACATGTAATTGTATAACTTAAGTGATTAAATGAATATTGTACCATTCTGTTTATGGTTTCCCAGGACAATATATTGAACTTTCTGTGACTTTAACACGGGCACACTAGGATGAAGTTTATATTACTATTGCTGTTTTTCATACAAGGTGAATGTATCGATTTCTCTAATATAAATGGAACAAATCTTCAGTTTCAATATATAAACCTATTTATGTTATACAGACTACTCTGCTACAGGAGAATGGGCGAGTTACCACTTATTGACCTCGGTAATAGATCACTATGCCTATTTGACGTATATATACTCTATTAATGTTGTAACCTAAAATGTATGGTTTACACTAATGGGTTTCAAGGTTATGGCATTAAAGGTTATGGCAGTAAAGGTTATGACAAATTGCAATTGATCGATCGCAAATGGCATACTCGACCTTCTAAGTAATTGCCAAATCATATCATAAGAAGTGAAGTGCAAAGGCATCATAATTTATTATCATAAATTCATAATATTAAGATTATGAGATTGGATCTAAACATATAAAAAGGCATGACATTTTGGCACATCTAAAATATTGTTTATTCCAAATATTAATATATATTTATTTAGTTACATTTATAAGACACTACGGAGAAATAAATATAAATATTATATTAAAAACATCTTGTATCAATCACCAAAATGAATCAATCAGATATTACTTTTACATCTGAACAATTAAAGCTTAAAGCTTTTACCATTCTGACAGAACTTGCAGTAGCTTACTATGACATTATATATTTTCCCAGTAGGCTGCCAATTTAAAAATATAACTGGATTCAAATTACAAATTAGACCGAGCTTACAACTCCTGCATTTAATTCAATATTTAAATCGGGAATGATAATACCGATTTTCTCATCTCCAGCTCTGGTTGGTACTGAAATTAGTACTTTACCTAGTTCTAACTTTTGAAGTCATTAATAGTAAAAGAAGAAATAGAAAAACTGAAGGTAAGGCTGATGAAAAACTAACTAGTTGATGAACACCTCTGAGATGGTGATAAAGAATTTGCAAAGACAATGTGATCAAAATATCGACTAAAATATCATTATAACCTTGAACTCAATGATACTAAGACAAAGAAGCAATCACAAAAAAACTGGTGCAAAAATATTAAAGGCATTCATAGCTAGAAAACATGACTTAGAATGAATAAAAAATCAGCCATATACATTCACAGCGAACGGGCCTATGGTTTTATTCAGTTAACCTGTAATGAGTGTGAGCTCTCGATTAATACAGGAAGAAAAAGTACAAGACAAAAACGCCATTAATTATAGCATTAAAATGTTTCGATCTCTAGATCATAACAACTGTCAACTTAGATAGATCGTATCCCAAATTAAAAAGAGCATCCACTATGGAAGCATCTCTTTAAGAAACGTTCCCTATCCTGAGAGTTTGAATATATACAAGAAAACAGATAGGCTAAAGTTTTGCGATAACTAGTAACATTTTGTGTTAGCGTTACTTTCTTGAGGTTTCAGCAATTTTATCAATATGAAACAACATTCAGCCTTGTTCTTTGAAGAACGATCTTCACATTATTTCCTGGTAATTTTTTCTGTTAAAGCAACTCTTCCAAACGAGATGTCAGTTCTGTTTATTTGCTTCAATTAACTAAATCATTTATTTAACTTTTCGACTAATATACGACACAAAGGGAAATTATCATAGCATGGATATATTACCCAAAAACAATGACATTTACCATTTGATATTTCGTAATAGCTCCTGCGCTCCAATTTGAAATTCTGATTTAGTTCGAATCAGTTCTAGTAATAGCAGAAATAGATATGTATTACTACTAGTACATTTCCTGTATCAGTGTTAACATAAAAACTCTTGATTAATAAGGATCTAATTGCTCTTTACTATTTTCAAGGTCAGATCAGCCTTCAGCGGAGCAGATTTCCTATGTATGTTATAAGATACCCTAATTGGAAACTAAAGAACTGCCTTTCAATAATAAAGTTGTACGTTAAATTGTCATTCACTATCGGTTAATTATATAGGTCCATTGGCATATTTGAAGTAACTAAGGTACCTTTAATGGAGGTTTTTAATTTTGAAAGTTACAGATTATTTTTTCTGCTTCAAATATCAATCGTTATGTTCTGGTAGGTTTCGGAAAAATCATGATGAAAAATTATGTAGTTTACTGATTTCAAAAAATTGAGATGAGCAATATCATAAAATATATCACATCATTAAATTAAGAATCAGCATTTCTGTCTTTATGAAGTAGTAATACCTAAATACTAAAGAGTTGTTGTAGATTTAGATTATCAGGAGATTTATAAATTTTTTTCAAAATGGTTAATGTCAAGGTAGAGTTTCTGGGAGGTTTAGATGCCATTTTCAAGAAACAAAGAGTTCATAAGTTAACTTTAAAAAAAAATAATAGCGATGATGAACCAGTAACGGTTGGCGATTTAATTGATTATATTGTTGAGAATATGATCGAGGACAAGAATGATGTAGAGGTTTTCTTACAAAATGGCACTGTAAGAGCTGGTATTTTAACTTTAATCAACGATACCGATTGGGAATTAGAAGGTGAAAAGGAATATGAATTAGAAGATGGTGATATTATATCATTTACATCAACCTTACATGGTGGTTAATAGTAGAAATGAAGAATAGTATGTATATCTATATATTGATATGTATGATAGATGAATGATAATATATTATATGCCTGAATAATTAAATATATCGATCATATAAGTAGGGTAAATTGGAATAGATTTAACCAAAAGAACGGCACTTTGTCAGTGCATCGTAGATACCCCCTCCAAAAAAAAAAAAGACAAATTTCAAAAATAAGTGGTCTTGTTAAAATAATTAAATAAACTTATATAACTATAGAGCATAAAAGTAAATGATAAAGATGTTAACAGTCGATCTACACTGAAGAAAAAAAAATACTCAAAAAAAAAGAAACACAATTTCTAACAAAAAAAAAAAATCTTGTAAAAAAAAACAAGGCAAATTAGCTAAATTGTTGAAATAATCACGAGTAAGATAAAATAAAATAAACTTTAAATCAACATAGCAAATACAATAAAATTCTTCTTGTTTTAAAACACTATTTTTTTAGAGTCTTTCCTTTCTTTTCAATTTCTTCTTGCAATAGATTAACGAATATCAACAACTAAATAAAAAAAAAAATAACACATAATATTGGATGAATCGAAATTTAGCCAATTAAAACCTAAAACAAGGGAGAAATTAGGCTTGGTTCAACAAACCCTTTAATCTTTCGACTTCTTGTTCAAGTTCGGAATTTCTTAATAATAATTCCTCGACTCTGTCTTCCAATTGATTCATTCTTTGAACCTTTCTGGCACGAGAACGTCTGGCTGCTTCTGTGTTTCTAGCACGCTTAACAGAGACTGGATCATCAGATTCAGGAATAACCGGCGTTAGAGGAGCTGCACGTTGCTTACGATTGTAAGAAATGACACCTAATCTATCCAATTTATCTGATTTCTTTTGAACACTGCCGGCGCTAGATTTCTTAGAATTCAACTTGGCGTCTTCAATGACAGGGGTTGGTAAGAAAGAAGTATTTGGAATAACCAACGATGGACCTTGTTCGGAATCGTCAGTTTGAGTAGATTCAACATTGTTATTGTTGTTTATGGCTTGTTCTTCTACCAATTCGATAGCATCAATTGCAGAGTTAACGTCATCCGTAGTAACAGGGATATCGTTATCGAACAAAGAAGTCCATTCAGAAGACTTGTTGGAATCAGTAGATTCGAACTCAAAAATTGGAGTGGAGTCGGCACTAGAAGAGAAAAAAGCGTCAACCACAGCAGAATCAAGTTCATTATAGTTCGAACTGATACCAGTGGTGAATTCGCTTGTAGTTGAGACTAATTCTAATTCTGACAGTACAGGAGATTCATTTTTAATAAAACTATTGAAAACCAAGTCATCTTCAGTGATTGTGTGGTTATTTTCCTTTTTAGATAGTTGATCAGGATTCATGTTAATCTTTAAATCCATTGAAAGAATGGAATCAGCACCACTACTTGCTGCAGTAGCATTAGTTGATGATGATGATATAGCTTTTGGGAACAAATTTGGTTGACTTTGATATGTGGACATTTTAATAGATTTTCTTGTAATAACTTTTGTAATAATTTCTTTGACTTGTTGTAGTGATAATAATAATAATAATTGTAAACTTAATTTAATAATTGGTAATAACTTATGATTTGGGTTGATTTAACTTGATAACTTTTTTTTTTCGTTGTTCTTGTAATTGTTGTGATAATAAAAACCGTTACGGTGACATGATTAATGTTAATAAAATGATCGAATAGATACACTTATCTTTTTGTTTAAAAGGGTGAAGGAATGTGATAAAAAACTAATTTAGAGACCAAAAGTTGGAAACTTATTTTAAAATTTAGGAATTTAACACATTTTTAAAAATATATATATAATAAAACAAAACTAATACAGATACTCTCTTTCGCTTGAAGGGAATTTGATTTGAAATGATTCTAATAAAAAATATAAAATTATATTATTTCTTTATTGATTCATCTTTAAATTTAACAAAATATTAAAAAAATTTAAAAAATAAATTTAGTAGGACATTTTTATTTTTATTCTGGACGATTTTTTTCTTTAATCTCGAGATACAAATACAAATAACCTAATAATATTCTGTTTGATTGCGAAGAAGTGAGTAGTGATGATGGGTTCTGTTATAATAAAATTATTGGGCTTTATAGATTTAAAATGAAAATAAAAATATAAGGCAATAATAATATTAAATCGCTAGGAAGACTTGGGATATGTCTGATAATAAGGGGATGGAGGGGGTGAAGTGGTAGAAAATGTGTGTTTATTTTCTTGGAATGAGTATAAATTCAAATACCAACTAATGTAAGTTTACAAGAGTGTTCTGTTGAGTGTATATATAAATATATAAAAGTAAAGTAAGGGTGCAAAAACAAGAATAAGAATAAGAACTAGAACTAGAAATAAATAAAAGGCAAAAAAGAGTTTGAGAGTAAAAAAAAAAGCATGAGAGAAGTGGAAAGAAACGAACATGGACATGAACATGAAGACAAATCTTTAATTACCTTTTACAATTAAATGGAAAGTTTAAAAAATGTTGAGTTTTATATATTTTTCAAAGTTGTGAAATGCCAAATTTTTCAATGTGAAAAAAACATCAAAATTAAAATCAAAATCAAAATAAATCACACACACATGCAGAGACAAATACGCACAAAAGATGAAAAAAGTGAAAAAAAAAAGATTAGGAGAGCCTTTTCTTTTCTTTTTCTCACTTTTGTGGTCAGGCATTTTCTGTGACATGGTGCCAGAGATCCCGAGGAAATATCCGGAAACTATCGATTTTTCCATTACCTTAAACGGTAATGGAAATGCCGGAATAGGAATTCTTGATCCCGATATGTGTGATCTGTGAGTGATATTTAGCATGAGATAAGGCATAGCTATAGCCATAGACATAGAGACATTCAGTCCATATATGTGAGAGTGAAAGAGAGAGAGAGAGAGAGAGATAACATAGCATACAAACACCACATGCCATTTTGGGTTATCAGCTGACCCAAAATAACTAAGGTAAAAAAGACATTATGAGCACACACACGCACACAGTTAACATAATCGTAATTGTAATCGGGAGAATTAGGGAACTCCAGTTCCAATAGAAACTTGCACACCAATAATACAAATACCTTTATACGACAACAAAAAGACCCACTGGAATTTTGGAATTTTGGAAATTTTTGTTATCTCCTTAATTTTGTGTTGTGTTGTGTTGTCTCGTCTCGTCCGCCTTCCTTCTGTTTGGTTGCACAGGAGAGAAGCTATAACAGAATATACTTATAACTAGCGAGACAGAAAATAAAGAGATGTCACCCTTAGCTTAGCTTAGCTTAGCTTCATAGAGCTTTTTTTTTTAGATGGACAGAAATAGAGATAAGATTCGACTGGATTGTATTGGGATACAAAGAAAGAGAAACAGAAACAGAACCAGAACCAAACACATCAATGTGACTAGACATTGCATTAATTAGATATTGCTGGAAGAGAGAAACTTAGGTAGGAAGAGCGAAAAATATGTGGTGATGATGTTTTGATTTCATAAAATCTCTTCAATTCAATTGGATTAAGATTAAGATCAAGATTAGGACTGGTGGTGGTGGTCGCCGTCGTCTGACAAAACAACAACAGCAAAAGAGATGAAAAGACAATAAAGTTATGTAGAGTTAAAAGATAGAGAGAGAGAGAGGCGGACACACACACACACACACAAAAGAAACGATGATTTCCTTTCTCATGCACATGATCACATGACATGCATGTGGTGTTCAGGTGCATGTGCTTTTGAAAAAAATGGCAATGGCAATGGCAACTTTTTTCTTACGCTATAAGTTTAACTGTGTTTGTCATTCACAATAATAATAACCTCAAGTTCTGTCTCTCTGTTGGTGCCGTCTCTTTATAGTTCCTGTACAAGTTTGTTGGTTTGGTTGCAAAGTCCACAGTGATATAGAAGTATCCTTAAAAGACACACAACATGGAATAAGTTGAAACTTCTGTTGCACCTGATCGTCACCATAAACAGCACATGCACAACTGTGGAAAATATGCCAAAAACTTCTGGGAACAAATAGGAATAAAACCCAAACTAAGATAAGATAGGACAAAACGTAATAAGTCATGTCCCATAATAATGCTTGTCCCCTCCAATTGAGTATTCTATTTTATCACTTTATACATACGTACGGCTGTTAAACTTGGCTATTGGAAAAATGAAAGAAAAAATAAAATGTTACCGTGCAAAATTTGAAAACTCGATCTCGTATCGAATTACTATTTTCTTGTTTTTTTTGTATTTCACACGTGACAAATGAATTTGATATTCTTTAGATGTTTTCAGTTTGTTTTCCGTCTTACTCTTTTTGGAGGGGGTGGGACTCGGGTCGGTAAATCAAATCGAATTCTTTATATACTCCACTCCATTCACTTCGGCTCGGCTCGGCTCGGCTCAAAATGCTTAGATTCGTGTCACACCTGAAAAATTAACCTTTACAATATTTGTCCACATTTAATTTTTCTACCATATTTGTTTTTGTACCACCTAAATGAAATAACAAAGATATAGTTGTGATTTTCAAACAACAAATTCACATATCAAAAAATCACTTTGCTCCCCTCTCCATCCATAAAATAAACATTATTAAACAATCATCACTCCTAGTTTCCCAAAAATAATTATGTAAAGGAGATTAAATCCATTCATTTGTTCGTTTAATAAACTTTGACTTATAAACAATTAAGTTTGTTTGTCTGTTTGTTTGTCTGTTTGTTTTTTTCATCATAAATTCCGTTTCGGTTTTTAAAATTATTATTAAATGTGCCATACTTCATATTTCATACAAGCTTATTGCCATGGTTATGTTCGTTTGTTTGTTTTTTTGTCAATTGCCATGTGCGGAAATATTTGGTATTTCTGTTTTTTGCTTCCAATAAAAAGAAATTAAATATTAATAATAATGTATTAATTAATCCTTGCATCCAATTTCTTTTCTCGTCTACTTGATTTATTAATTGGCATGTGTCCCAGCTTGCCATATTTAAATATCCTGTATACTAGCATGACATTCTGTTGAAGACAAAAAAAAATAAAACTTTTTCACTATAACAGAGATTAACACCAAGAACAAAGGCGAAAAAAGAGTCAAAATACATTCAGTTAGTCACACTTCGGGTATAAGCATTATATATTCCGTCAACCATTGGTTGCTACTTTAAAAAAGTTTAATCATTCATTGCATTTATTTTTGTTTAATTTCATCCCATTCACTCATCTGTTTCCCATTAGCGCTCATTACAGTCATATCCCCTCAATTCTCCCCCTTTTTCTCAGTCAGCATCAACTAAATATAATTATGGTATCGTACCATAATGTCAATTAGTGAATGCTATTTAATCAATCCAATTTGGGTAGAAATCTAAAAATAAAAATGAACATGAAAAAAGAAAAAGATTCGAAAAGATGACATCATTATTAATAATTGATTTTGTTCCATCAAAAAACTAACATATTATATCTTCATCAGTTATTCTTTCTTATTCTTTTGAAGCTAGTTTTAACTTTGATATTGCTAATTGCCGGTTCATCATCATCATTTCAATAATCTTTTACTTTTGTGTTTGCTTTAGCAAGTTGACTCTACATCTATATTATCAGTTCTTGAGCTTTTTATCACACAACCTGTTCTTGTAGTAATATTTCAAAAAAAAATTCTACTGTTGAAAACAGTCGGTGGGGATAATCAGTTAAAAGGTAGAAAATATTCCTAACTTGTGTTGTTTTTTGTTGGATGCTATCCGAATTGGTGGAGCTATAACACCTCTAATAACCTTATCTATATATTGCATTTCTTATTCTGATTCTGCCTATCTTTATTATTCCTATTGTTAGCATAACTATTTGTCTTTACAAACGTTGACAAATCCAAATAATCCCGCCTTCTGTACGTCGTTTTCAAATTGCAATTTCAATTTCGAGCCAGATCCTTGGGTCTGTACCCTAACTCCAATTTTAAACCTATTTTTTTTTCTTTTATTTTCTTATTCCTCTATCTTGCAACTATTACTACTTACAAATTTAAATTTATAATTCCTGTCTCCAGTAAGTTCCTTAGTTCCTTTCAACAATTCGTGTGTAGGAACTGTATATTGTCTTACTTTCATTTAGTTCAGTTTAGTTAGTTATAATAATAACATTCAAGTAGGATATATTTTTCAGAAGACAGAAAAGAAACCGCAAGTACTCCAGTAGGTGCAGGAAAATCTCCGCAGAAAATTGTATATTTCGTTTTCCTATTTAGGACATTAATATCCCTCATGCATCCAAAACAGGTTATAAAAAGAAACGTTTGATTGGATATTTATTTCTTGGTTACAATACATTTCCAAAAGTATTAGCCAAAATGGAAAGGTTAACCTTTCCATTTTAGCTAGTCGACAAATAATAATGCCAGTATCACCATTACTTATACCAATATTATTATAGTAGGTGTTAACTAAGGATGTGTTCAAGCTTCCTAGAA